GGGGGCAGCAAAAACGAATTGAACTCATGGGGTCGCCGCGCGTGCAGAAGCTCTTCGCCCTCGCGGGCGTGAGCCCCGCGCCGACTCCCGACCCGTTCTGCGGTCCCGGCGGGGACGATCCGCGCTTCACGGACGACGACGACGACGACGAGGACGCCGAGGACGCCATCCCGACGATGGAGGACGCCGGCGGGCCGTCGGGCGGCGGTGCGCGGCGCGGCGGCGAGCTCGAGACCGAGCGGCACCGCGTGCCGCCCATCATCGAGCTGGAGCGCGTCGCGCCGCCGCGGCCCGGGACGCCGCCGCCGCCGCCGACCGTCGAGCTCTTCGTCGTGTCGCCGAAGAAGGAGAGCGCCACCGTGGGCAGCGCGGCGGTCTTCGACCTCCGCCGCACGGAGGAGGAAAAGGAGCGCGCCTGGGCGTCGGGCGGGCCCGCGCGGCGCGCGCGCGCGGCCCAGGGGCGCCAGGTGCACATCGAGGTCTGCGCGGAGTCGGACGGCACGCCGGACCACCAGCCGTTGACCATCGTCGACGTCGAGAAGAAGGACCGCGAGGGCGACTTCGCCGACGCCGCCGCCGAGGCCGCGCCCTTCGTCTTCGATTTGCGACCTGGCCTCGGCGCGATGATGACGCCGACGCCGTACGTCGAGCGCGCGGCGCTGCCGGACGCCTACGACGCGTCGCCGGAGCGCAAGGCCGCGCCGCCGACCCTCGAGCGGACGCCGCGCCAGCGGGCGACGCCGTCGCCGAAGCGCGCCGCGGAGCGCGAGCGCGAGCGCCGCGCGGCGGCCGCCGCGGCCGCGGCGCGCGCGGACGCGGACCGCGAGGCGGCGCGGGCCGCCGCGGCCCGGGCGGACGCGGACCGCGAGGCGGCCGAGGCCGACGCCGCCGAGCGGCGCGCCGCGGACGCGCGGGACGGCGAGGCCGCCGCGCAGGAGGCCGCCGCGCGCGACGCGGCCGCGGCCGCCGCGGCGACGGCGCGGTCCGCGCGCCTCGTCGCGGAGGCGCGGGCCGCGCGCGCGGTCGCCGAGGCCGAGGCCAAGGCCGCGGCGGAGGCGCGGGAGGCCGAGGCCGCGGCGCTGCGGGCCGAGGTGCTCGCCGAGGCCGAGGCCGCGGCCGCGCGGCTCCGGCGCGACGCGGAGGCCGCGGAGCGGGCCGACGAGGCCGCGCGGCGCCTCGCGGCCGCGGAGCGCGACGCCGCGGCTTTAGCCGCGGCGGAGGAGGCCGCGGCGGCGAAGGCCGAGGCCGAGGCCGCCGCCGAGGAGGCCGCGGCGGCCCGGGCCGAGGCCGCGGCCGCCGAGGAGCGGCGCGCGGCCGAGGCCGCGGCCGCCGAGGACCGGCGATTACGAGCCGCGCTCGAGCAGCGCGAGCGGGAGGCGGCGGCGGAGGCGGCCCGGCTCCGTCTCGCCGAGGCGGCGGCGATCGACGCCGCCGACCGGGCCGACGCCGCGCGCCGCGCCGCGGAAACCGTCGAGGCCGCGGCCGCGCGGAACGCCGCGTACGAGGCCGCGACAAGGGTCACGGTCGCCGCGGACGAAGAACCGGCAAAAACGCTCGTCGTCTACTCGTCGCAGACGCCGAACCTCAAGACCTTCGCCGCGTCCGTCGCGTCCCACGGCTGCGGCTACGACTTCGAGACGGCGTCGCCCGAGGACTTTGTGGCTCTCGTCGAGGGCCAGGTCGTCGCCCACGCGCCCTGCATGGGCTTCGACGCCATCCTGCTGGCGAACTACGGCGGCGAGGACGAGGACCTGTTCGTGCTGAGCCGCCGGGTGAACGCGGCGACGGCCGCGGACCTCGCGGCGCCGCGACGCGTGCTCGCGGCGCTCGCGGGCGCGGTCGTCGCGGGGGGCCGCGTCGACATCGTGGAGCCCGGGGCGCTCTTCGACGCGCCCGAGGGCCGGGCGCTGGTCGCCGAGCTCGAGCGCGACGCGGCGTGCTCCGTCGGCGCCGCGCGCGACGACTTCGCGGCCGCGTACCTGACCGGCGAGACGACCCCAAAAACGGCGGCGCGCGCGGCCGCGGCGAAGCTCGAGGCGGCGGCGGCGCGCGAGTTCGAGGCCCTCGAGGCCGAGCACGGCCTCCGGCTCGAGTGCGACGACGCGGACGCGTCGCTGGGCACGTTCGAGGAGGAGGGCTCGCCGCTCGTCGAGCAGCGGCCGCCGTCGTCGCCGGACCTCGTCGCCGCGGGCGCGCCGCCGGAGGTCGCGCCGACCTTGCCGCCGCTGGAGCCCTGCGGCCCGCGGTCGCCCGCGCCCACCGTCCGCGTCGCGGAGCTCCGGTCCGACGCGTCGCCGCCGGTCGCGACGCCCGAGGCCGAGGCGCCGGCCTTCGAGCAGATCGCGGCTCTGGGCGAGGCGACGGCGGCGCGGCGGCTCGACGACCGCTTCGCGGCGGCCGTCGCGCCGCCGCCGCCGCCGCCGGAGGAGGACCGGCCCGCGACGCCGCCGCGGGCCGTGCCCCGGTCCGCGTCGGGCCCCCTCCCCGAGAGCCCCGAGGGCGCGCCGCGCCCCGGCGGCCACCGGCGCTGGGGGTCGAACCCGGCGCTCCGGCGGAGCGGGTCCTGCGGGCCCGGCGCGGCGTCCGCGCGGCCGCCGCCGTCGCCGCGGCGGCGGAGCGGGTCGTCCGAGCCCGAGGGCCGGCCGCCGCTGGCCCAGTCCGACTCCTTCAAGGGCCGCAAGGGCATCGCCCCGGGCCTCCACGAGCGCCTGAGCCGGCTGCGGAGCAACTCCGAGCAGAGCGCCGCGCGCGCGGAGGCGCTCCGCGTCAAGGCCGAGGAGGACCTGCGCCGCGCGCGGTCCCAGAAAGACGCGGCGCCGTCCGCCGAGGAGCCCAACACGTCGCGGGCGCGCGAGGCGGCCCTGCGCGCGGCGCGCGCCGCGGAGATGGAGGCCGCGCGGGGCACGCGCGCGGCCGCGCCCGGCGCCGCGCGCGCCGCGGCCGCCGCGACCGGGTCGCCCGGATTGCGGGTGATCCAGGGCGGCCGCGTGTCGTCGCTCGTGTCCACCTTCGAGGACCTGGTCAAGGGGACGCTCGCGGACGCGGCGCGGAGCGACCGGGCGTTGAGCAGCCGCGACGGCGCCATCGCGGCCGCGGAGCGGCGCGCGCGGCGCGCCGAGGCCGCGCGGCGCGCCGAGGCCGCGCGGCTCCGCGGCGCCGTCGCCAAGCCCGGCCTGTCCAACGTGAGCGCGAACCCGCTCCGTCTCGTCATCGAGGCGACCTGCGAGACGCCCGGCGCGACGCTCCTCATCAGCGTCGACGGCGGTTTGACGTGGCGCACCGAGGAGCCGCGCGGCGCGCGGAAACGGCCCGAGCTCACCTTCGAGCTCGTCCACGACGCGGCGCTCGAGGACGCCGACGGCCGGCGCGTCGTGCTCGCCTACGCGACCATGGAGGGCCGGGCCGCGAGCGACATCGCGTCGTCGGCGTTCGCGCGCGAGCCGCCGCGGTTCGTCTTCCACGAGGCGCACCCGACGGAGCTCACGCTGGCCAAGTTCGCCGCGGCGCCCCGGGGCCACGAGTCCCTCCCCACCGTCTGCGCGCTCTGCGGCGGGCCCGCGGCCATGGACTCCTACGTGGCCGCGGAGACCGCGTTCGCGATCTGCGGCCGCTGCGCGTTGGCGCCGCTCGCGGCGCGCTTCCGCGGCGACGTCAAGCACGCCACGGCCCACCCCGACGAGGGCGACGCCGACGCGACGGCGACGGCGCGCTGCGTCGCCGTCGACGCCGGCGCGCACCGCCTCTGGCTCAGCGAGCCCGTGCGCTTCGAGGGCAACAACGCCAAAGTGCTCGACAGCTCGAAGACCCTGCTCGACCAGCTCGCGGCGGTCATGAACCGCCACCCGACGATCTGCGTGCGCTTCGAGGGCCACACGAACTCGAAGTGCGGCCTCGACTGCGACGGCAGCGCGACGTGCTCGAACTCGCGGTGCGCGCGCGACTTCGGCGCCACGGGCGGCGCGCTCGCCTTCTCCGAGCGGCGCGCCCGGGCCGTCAAGGCCTGGTGCGTCCAGGCCGGCGTCGACGACGACCGCATCCTCCCCGTCGGCTGCGCGGGCTCGCGCCGCATCGTCGAGGACACCGAGGGCCACAACGGCGGCCTCAACCGCCGCGTCGAGGTCCACACCATCGTCGACTAACGTTGTCTTTAGAGGTCGGACGTGTCGACCTCGAGCACGGCGAACTTGTCCTTGGCCGGGAAGAGGCCGCTCGCGAAGAGGTACTCGTCGTAGTCCTCGGACGAGAAGCGCGACGTGACGACAACGTGGAAGTCCTTGGCGCACATGACGAGGCCCGCGGAGTCCGCCGTGTCCTCGTCGCGGAAGAGGGCCTTCGTCGCAGGGTTGTCCGCGAGGCCGCTGTCCAGCTCCGTCACGAAGCCCCTGCCCGCGCCGTCGAAGAGCGCGAGCGGGAACGTCGCCGGCGCGGCGAACTTCCCGGAGAAGTCGACGGCGGCCTGCTGGCAGGCGACGACGAGGCCGAGGCCCTGCTTCATGGCGGACACGACCTGCTTCCGCGCCTCCTCGAGGCACTCGTCCACGGGCTTCTTGGCCATGGTGTGCTTGAGCGACAGGGCCTTGGCGTCCAGGAGCCGCGCGCCCTTTCCGTAGGTGTAGAACGTGTCGACCTTGCCGTCCTCGCTGGGGTCCAGGATGAGCGGCGTCTTGCCCGACTCGACGGCGGCCTTGACGACCGCGGGCAGGTCCCTTAGGTCGAACCGCGTCACGCCCTCGGGCGCCGGGCCCTGGACCTTCTTGGGCTCGGGCGCCGTCGTCGGCGGCGGCGCCGCCGCCTTCTTCTCCTTGGGCAGGAACGCGGGGTCCGCGCCTTCGATGCCGAGCTCGGCGTAGGCCTTCTTGCACTTGCCGATGATGAGGAACTCGTTCTTGCCCTCGACCTTCTTGTAGGTCTCTTCCAGCGTCGTCTTTTGCGTCTCCGTCAAGCTCGGTTTCACTTTCTCGTACTCCTTTTTCAAATCGCCGGTGTCTTCGATGGACGCGCCGGCGCCCATGGTGACGCGGCGACAACGCAGTTGCAAGAGGGCAGAGATCCGAGCGCGCGCTTCGCGTTGGCGGAAGCGGCAACCGTCCATATATCGACTTCAAGATCTCACAAGTTGCTGCACCTCGAGCTCGCCGAGCAACCACAAGCGCCAGCGGCACCAGCCGTGGTCGACGGCCCCGACCATGCGGCGGCGCGTCTCGAGCGGCGCGCGGCGCCGCGAGCCGGAGCCGCCGACCTACGACGCCGCGGCGATCCAGGCCCTCTTCGACACCTGGGCCGACGACGTCGAGGGAGGCGCCATGGGCATGGACGGTGCGTCGCCGCGCGCGGGGGTGATTCGGCGCCGCGCGCCCGTCCCGACCCGGGGGACTCGATCGGGGCCGCGCGAAACCATACATCGACGCGCCGTCCCGTAGGCCTCGTGGACCTCTGCGGCGCGCTGGAGATCGACCCGGCGAGCGACGTGCGGCTGCTCGCGCTGCTCTGGAGGCTCGGCGCGAAGCAGCCCGCGCTGATTTTGCGCGAGGAGTGGGCCGAGGGCATGGCGGCCATCGGCTGCGACTCGCTGGAGAAGCTCAAGGCCTACGTCGAGGCGCTCGAGCCCCACGCGGGGCAGGACAAGAGAGCGAAATTCCCAACTTCAAAGGCTCATATCTCGGCCGTTTTCCACTCGTTTCGGCTGATTTTTGGACGAGCGATCATCTCTCGGAACGGTCTCGAAGCGTGGATGCTTTTCCCGGAACGCGCGCGCGCGGAACACTCACGTTGAAGCGACGTTGAATCTCTCTTGTGCTGCCCAGGCCCCACGCGATGGACCGGCGCGCGTTCCGCGACTTCTTCAAATTCGTCTTCCTCTTCTCGCGCGAGGGCACGCACCGCACCATCGAGAAGGACATCGTCGCGGCGCTGCTGCCCATCGCCATCGGCGACCGGAGCGCCCACACGGCGTCGTTCCTCGCCTTCCTCGAGACCTCGAGCACGACGCGCGTCACGCTCGACCAGTGGTGCTCGTTCCTCGAGTTCAGCGACACCGTGGCGCCGGACTTCGAGGGCTACGAGGAGGACGGCGCCTGGCCGCTCCTCCTCGACGAGTACGTCGAGCAGGCCAGGGCAGACAAGGCCGTTTGAGGGCCCGCCGCGCGGTTCCCCCTCGGCCGGCCCCCGCGAGCGCCTAACTCGCCCTCGCGCTTAGGAGCTCGCGCCGCGCTTGATGGAGGAGCGCGTCGACTTGGAGTCGTCGAACTCGGAGCCGTCCTCGTCCTCGTCCTCCTCGAGGATGCCGCCGCCGCCGTTCTCCGAGCCCGGCGCGCCGTCCTCGTTGAGCGCGCTGAGCCCGCCGAAGCGCTTGCCCTTGGCCTTGGCGCCGCCGCGGCCGCGGCGCGCGTTGTGCGTCGCGCGGCGGCCGCGGCCGCCGCGGCGGCGCCAGCCGCGCTGGAGCGTCGGCGGCGCGGCGACGCCGTTGCGCTTGAACCACGCTAAAAGCGCGTCGTGGGAGATGGAGAGCGCGTCGCAGACGATGGGCACGACGGACGACAGGATGGGCAGCTTCCAGTCGTCGCCGCGGAACGCCAGCGCGCAGATCTGGAAGAAGACGTCGCCGTCGATCTCGTCGCCGTTCGCGATGCAGCGGTGCGCGGTCCCCAGGAACTTGAGCATGCAGCGCGGCAGGGGCCCCGTCTTCGTCGCGTCGCCGATCTTCTTCAGCACGGGCCGGAACCAGTTGTGGCGGCGCACGGACTCGGCGATCTTGCCCCGCTGGCGCGCGGCGATGCGGTGCCGCATCGCGCGGATTTCTAATTTGACGTCGCGGTAGACCTGGGGCGCGCGCTCCTTGTCGTCGTCGATGACGCCGCTCTTGCCGCTCAACGAGCCGTGGTCGTCGGCGTCGGAGCCCGCGTCGGGCTTGGCGTCGCCCGCGGCGGCCGCGGCGATGGCCTCGGGCGTGAGCGTCGGTGCGCCGCCGGCGTCGCGCGGCGACGCGGGCGCGGCGCGCGGCGACGCCGCGGGCGACTTCAACGACGACGGCAGCGTCGCGTAGCGGCCCGAGGCGACGTGGGCGCCGGGCACCAGACCGTCGAACTTGAGCGGCAGGGACCGGTGCCAGTCGCGCGCGTGCGCGCGGAGCGCCGCGTTGAGGTCGCGGTCGTTGCGCTTCGTCGTCTGGGTGACGTCCTGGAGCGTCTTGATCAGCGCCTTCGTCGCCGTCGCCGACGCCGCCGTCGACTCGCGCGCGCGCCGGAGCATGTTCCCGAGGGCGACGGCGTGCGCGGACCGCGCGGGCGGCTTCTCGGGCGCCCAGGGCGGCTCCGCGCGCGTGCTCCGCGTCGGGCTCGCGGCGCGACCGCCGTCGCCGGGGCTCCTCGCGCGGGTCGCGCGCTCGTCGCCGGAGCCGCCGCCGTCCTCCTTGCCCGCGAAGACGCCGCCGAGCTGGCTCCGGTGGTTCGCGGCGGCCGCGGCGGCCAGCGCCTGCGGGCTCGGCGCGCCGCCCGCGACGCCCTTGGCGCCGGAGCCCTGCGCGTAGATCGTCGGCCGCATGTAGTGGGGCACGGACTTGCCCAGGGCGCTGCGCCGCGCGCCCGGCGGCGGGCTCGGGAAGGCCGGCCCGCCGGACGCGGCCTCGTGGCCGCCGCCGTCGCTCGGCGAGTCGAGCGCGGCCTTGGGGAGCCGGAGCAGGCCCTCGTAGTCGTCGAGCTTCCGCCGGAGCTCCTCGGCGTTGCGCCGGCCGTTGTCGTGCTTGCCGTCGCGGTGCTTGAGGAGGTGGTCCTTCTTCTTCTTCGACGCGGCTTTTAAAGCTTTCCCCCGGCGGCCGCCCTTGGTGTTGGACGTCATCGCGGACGCGTCGGACACGAAGGACGCGGAGCTCCGCCCGCTCATGGAGCTCCGCGTGGACCCGCCGGAGCCGTCGGACCCGGCGGACGCCGGCCGGCCGTCGGAGCCCTTCGTGGCCGCGAAGTTCGTCGCGGAGCTCGCCGCGAGCGACCCGCCGGCCGCCGTCCGCGCGGCCTCCATGGCCTCGCCGCCGAGCTCCACCCCAAAGGCGCCGAAGAGCGCCGCGGCCTGCTCGGCGTCGGCGTCGACGCCCTCGTCGTCGCCCTCGTCCAATTCCTCCTCGCCCTCGTCCTCGCCCTCGTCCTCGCGCTTCGCGGCCGGCGTCTCCGCGCGCTGCCGCAGCGCCTCGAGCGCGTCGACGGTCCGGACGAAGGTGCAGAGGGGCGTGCCCTGCTGCGTCGACTTGACCAGCACGCCGCCCTTCTCGACGCTGCTCTTGATGGCCGCGAAGCCGCTGGGCCGCAGCTTGCGCCTTGCCGGCCGCGACACGACGTGCGGCTTCGGCCGCTTCGGCGGCGCGGCGCCGCTCTTGGCCTCGGCGTCCTCCTTGTCGCCCTCGCGGTCGCCGCGCGACTCGTGCGTCGCGTTGTCGAGCTCGGCGCGGATCGCCGGCCGCGCGTCGACGAGGGACCGCGGCGAGCCGCCGCCGCCGTCGTCGGCGTCGCGGACGGTCTGCAGCGACAGCAAATGCTTGTGGCTCTTGCCCTTCTCGTCGCTCGCCACGAGGTAGACCTTGAGGTTGAGCAGGCTGTGCAGCGCGTTGTTCGCCTTGGCCGCGTCGGCGTCCTGCAGGCTCCGCCGCGGCGACAACGGCGCCGACTCGGGCTTGTGGCCCTGCTCCTCGGCGAGCTCCTCGTCCGTGTTCAGCCGCGTGCGGTACATCGTGCGCGTCGCCACCTGGCGGCCCTCCTTGTCGCTCAGGTCCACGCCGCTGTTCACGATCTGGATCGGCATGGCGCCCGCCGGCCGCCGCCGCCGGAGACGAGGCTGCCTTCGACTCGAGAGATGAAACGCGCCGCGTCGGAGGTGCACGAGATACGATCTCCAAGGTGCCGTCCGTATTTCTCTAGCGCGACGCTCTCCCGTCTAGCGCGGAGGCAGCCCGGACGAGAGCGCCGGCCGTCGGCGTTCCTCGCGAGGCCGCCCGGGGGCAGCGCGACCATGCCGCGCCCGCGGCCGCCGCCGCCGGACGACATGTTCCCGGACATCAACGTGAAGACGGGGACGCCGAGCGGCGCCGACGGCGGCGGCTTCTTCCCGCCCGGCGAGGACGACATCTGGGGGTCGCGGCCCGGCACGGCGGAGTCGGAGGGCATGACCTTCGAGGAGTGGCAGAAGCGCGCCGGCGTGGGCCCTCCCGGCGGGTCCGCCCCCGGGTCGCGGCCCGGCACCGCGGGCTCGGGCGAGGACGAGTTCAGCCGCACCGACGGCGCGACGGACTACTACAACAACGAGCTCGCCCAGTCCCAGTCCCAGCCGGCGCTCCAGGCCTTCGGGTCCTCGGGCGGCTCCGCCGCGTCAAAGCTCAAGAGCGTCGTCAAGAAGACCAAGGGCTCCATGCACGAGGTCGTCAAGCAGGCCAAGGGCGTCGCGCGCGCGACCGCGATGCTCGACGAGAAGAAGCAGGAGGTCTCCAAGAAGCAGCGCGCCCGCGAGAAGGTCATGAAGCAGCGCCAGGACCACGAGGCCTGGGTCGAGCAGCTCGCGGCCGCGTGCGACGCGACGAACGCCGAGCGCGAGCGGCTCTCCGCGGAGATCATCTTCCTCGAGCACAACATGGAGCGCAAGCGGTTGCTGCGCGTCATCCTACGCCTCAGCCGCTTCAAGAGCCACAGCGCCTTCCAGACCTGGGTCCACAACACGATCAAGCCCGAGCGCGACCGCAAGTTCGCGCTCCGGGACCAGATGAAGAAGGATCTGGCCGCGCTCCGCGTGCAGATGAAGGAGGACACGGAGAAGAACGAGCTGCTGCGCGAGAAGATTTTGGAGCAGCGCCTCAACAATTCGTCCACGGAGCAGTACAACCTCTTCCTCAAGATCTTCAGCAAGCTCGCGGGCGACAAGACGCGCGAGTACTTCGCGCACTGGATGGGCATGTACCGGTCGTTCATGAAGCAGTACAATCTGGTCGCCAAGATCATGGGGCGCATGGTCAACCAGACCATGCTGAAGGGCTGGGTCAAGTGGTACCACGTCGTCTTCATCGCGTCGAAGATGACGCTCGACGAGCAGCTGAAAGCGTTAAAGTTCGAGCTCGGCAAGGCGCGGCAGCGGTGCAACCTCGCGGAGAAGGCCGTCGAGGACGTGGCGAACAAGGCCATGGCCGACATGCTCGCCAAGGCGACCAAGGGCCAGCGGGCGCTGCTCAACAAGATCCTGTCCAAGTTCTGCACGTTGTATATTCGCTACGGGATGAAGAAGTGGACGGACCAGATCAAGCTCTACAAGACGGCCAAGCAGAAGATGCAGATGATCATCTCGCGGTTGATGAATTCGGAGCTCAACTACGGCCTGCGCAAGTGGACCATGGTCTGCATGAAGGACAAGGCGACCGCGGGCGACATGATGGTCGCGCGCTACAAGCGCGAGTCCTCTTTGCTCAAAGACCGGTCCGAGCTCGTCGCGGCGCGCATCAAGGCGCTCTGCATCAAGGTCGAGCAGATGCGCGAGTCCGTGCAGCTCCAGGCCATCGCCGCGGACCGCGTCGCCCACGGCATCCCCGACCTGGCCGACGAGTTCGCGAACATCTCGTACGTCGACCGCGCGGCGTCCGAGAACCCGCAGTCGCTCATCAAGCTCATGCCGCCCGGCGCCTTGGGCGGCGGCGGGGCCGGCGGGGCCGGCGCGCCGGGACAGCCGTCCGAGGACATGCTCCAGACCACGGTCTTCTACGGCGCGAACAAGATGGTGCCCGCGTCGTCCGCGTCGCTCGCGAGCTCCAAGGGCCCGTCGACGGGCTTCTACGGCCGCGGCAACGTCGGCAACGACTCGGCGTCCCTCGCGTCGAGCCTCGAGTCGCCGTCGCTCAACTTCGCGGGCATCGGCTTCGGCACGCCCATGGCGCCCGAGGACCGCGCGAACCTCCTC